CCCTCCATTTGCTCAGATGGATCTTTAATGCTTACATTAATGGAGTGGCTTGGTCAGGCATGCCATGGGAAATAAGAAAAATGTGTACAAAGAATATTTTTAAACAGTATTTGGTCCCAGCAAATTAACAGTTCCTCGGGGTTGATCTCAACTGTTCTGCTATGGATGACAAGTTATTAATATGAACATATATATTAGAAATAACATGATGAGGAAAGAGGTAAAATGTAGGTGGACACATGATTCTAATGATATTTTAATCCATTAATTTATAATTATTGAACCAGCTTATTTCAGTGAACATAATTAAACTTGCTGTAGGTTACAAATTTCTAACAAACTAAAATACAGTTGTACTTCAATGTATACTTAGTTTCTATTTTTTCACATGCTAATAAATACTCTTTCATTAGAGAAATGAAATGTGAGCTTAAAATGAGACATGAATTAGGAGGCGATGCATTTTATCATGTTTAATTTTGAGGGCGTCTGTGTTAATAAAGTTTCTCTGCATACTCCTCTGCATCTTAGGTTTTCAGAGCTCACCTAAGTCCGCATGTTCCCACACTCTCCTAATCACATGAATGCATTCTGAGTGGGCGTGACTCATCTTCCCTAAGCAATGCCAGGGAAGCAAAGGTTCCTATCCACTCCATGGCAGAGAAGAATGTGTGTGCCTTCTGTGTTCTCCCTTTTTCTTGTGGTTAACAATCAAGGAATCTCAGATGATCCACTTCTAAAACAGAAGCAACCTGAGGCCTCGAGCTTCAGTAAGGACCCCATAGAAGGGTTTCCCAGTTTTCCAGAGGAAGGAATAACCAATTGCACATTTTACTAAATTGCCGATTAGGGTTGGTCTATTTTGTTAGTGTTAATTACACTTACTAACATGGCTGCTTCTCACATCTGGTTATGTGGTAGAATGGAATTGGTGCTAATGTTCTAAGTACTACTTGTCAACTTCTTGTCCCTGAAAAACTATAATGGAGTACAGGGAATATATAAGATACAATATTCTACTCAAAATCCAGGAAATGGGTGATTTTTTTGTGTGTGTGAATCCTTTTATCCTTTTCCCATTGTTATGTCTTCATGTTGCACAGTGGGAGTGGAAAGTAAGAGTTATGTGTAAATTTCACTTCTATGAGCTAAATCCATGCCCCTGAGTAACAGTCTCGGGGACTATTTCATATCTTTTCAAATATAAGTCAAGGCACAAGAATAAGATTTCCATAATTGAATACCAACATCATTAGTTTAACTCAACTTCTAATATGTCACATCTTTCTGCCTTGCATAGATAAGGCTGGCATGTTACATTTTTGGCCTTTTTCTGCATATCAAAGTAGCCACAAAGGTGATACAATAAATGGCCAACGATTTAAAGCAATTTTTAGCTGCTTGAATAAATTGGATTTTATTATTTCTTTGAAAGGTTATTACTGATGAATTTTAAGACTTTTTAAAAACAAAAAATTGAAAACTATGATACAAAATTTCAAACAGATTACAGGAGATTAACAATGGTTAATGTATATTGTTATCTTCAAAGTAGGAATCGCTCATATTACAAGATATAGATATGAAAAAATGATCAAGCAATGAGACACGAATCATTCTTTTTGATGAACTAACAGATGAGTAGTATAATGGTTGTGTGTGTGTGTGTGTGTGTGTGTGTGTGTGTGTCTTATCCCTGCTTTCTTTTCTCCACACCCCCATCCCCCTTGTTCTTTCCTTTTGAGCAGTTTCTTTCCCTTTCATTTTCACAATAGCTATTGTACATTTTAGACATTTACTCTTTCAGTTTTTATACTAGAGATATGATGTTTACACATGTGATTCTGATTTATTTCACTTATGAGTATGGTCTCAAGTTATATCAATTTACCTATAAAAGCCTTGAGTTATCCTTCTTTATAGCTGAGTAGTACTCCATTGTATAAAAATACCATTTCTTCTTTTATCCATTCCAATGTCGATGGGCATTTGGGTTGTTTCCCAATTTAGATATTACAAATTGTGCTGCTGGGTGCACATATATTACTGTGGTACAATATTTTCAATTCTTGTGGTAAAATACCCAGAAGAGAATAGGTGGATTGAATGAGCCTCCAATCCTAGTTTTCTGATGACTCTCCATGCTGATTTCCACAGCGATTGTACCAATATGCACCCCCACCAACAATGGAGAAATATTCCTCTTTCCCCACAGCCCTGCTAGTATTTATTATTGATTTCTTGATGACAGCCATTCTTTTTGTAGTGCAACAGAATCTCAGTGTTTTAATTTGCATTTCTCAAATGACCAGTGATGTTGAACATTTTTTCATATATTTATTTGCTATTTGTACTTCTTCATCTGAGAAGTGTGTGTTCATCCCCAATGCCTATTTTTGGATTCTTTCAATTTAGGGGGCCTGATACTTTGCAATTCATTATATGCTCTACATAGAAAGTCCTTCACCTGAGGCATAGTTAGCTAAAATATTTTCCCACTCTGTAGGTTGTCTTTTTACTCTGTTGGTGATTTCTTTTGTTGTACAAAAACTTTGTAAGAGGAGGTCCCAGTTGTTGATTCTTTGATGTATTTGTTGTACCCTTTGGGTTTGTTAATAAACTGTCTGCCTGCCTCTATATCTTCAAGATTTCTACCTCCTTTCCTTCCAGTAGCTTAAGTGTTTCTGTTTTAATATTTATATCTTTGATCTATTTTGACTTTAGTTGAGTGCATGGTGATAGACATGTGTCTAATTTTAGTCTTTGGCATGTGGAAAGCCAATTTTTCCAGCACCATTTATTTAGCTTTGGTATCAGGAATTGAACTCATGATCTCCAGGCTGGTGCTGTGTTATATCCCTGGCCCTCTATTTATTAAAGAGACTATTTTTCTTCCATTGAACATGTTTTGGCCCCTTTGTCAAAGATAAGGAGGTCAAGTGTCTTTGTAGATGTGTCTGCATCTTCTAATCTGTTCCATTGATCCCCCTGTGCCATTGGTCTGTTTTGTTTTGTTTTGCCATCACCATGCTGATTTTATCATAGTAGCTTGTTAGTATGATTTCAAATCCAGGATTGTGATGCCTCCTACCTTGCCTTTGTTGCCCAGGATTGTCTTTGCTATTCCAGGTCTTTTCTGGGTCCAGATGAATTGTAGGAATATTTTATTTAGATCTGTGAGGTATGCTAATGGTATTTTGATTGAGATTGCATTCAATCTGTATAACAGTTTTGGGAGTATAGCCATTTTCACAATGTTGGTTCTTCCTATCCATAAATAAGTGATGTCTTTCTATTTTCTGATATCCACTGCAATCTCCCTTTTCAGAGTACTGTAATTCTCAACATGTAGCCTTACATCCTTTGTTAGATTGATTCCCAAGTATTTCACTTCTTTGGATGCCATTGTGAAAGGTGTAGTTTTCCTAATTTCTCTCTCAGTGAGTCTATTGTTTGTGTACAGGAATGCTATTGATTTTTGAGTGTTGACTTTGTATACAGTTACACTATTGAATTTCCATATTAACTCTAGTAGTCCTTTGGTGGATTTTTTGGGGTCTTCTGTGTAGAGTATCATGTTACCTGTGAGTAATAATAATTTAATTTCTTCCTTTCCTATCACTATTCCTTTTATTCCTCTCTTTTGTCTAATTGCTCTGGCTCACACTTTGAAATCTATATTGAATAGGAGTGGTGGTAACAGACATCCCTGTCTGGTTCCTTATTTTAAGGTGAAAGTTTCAGTTTATGTCTATTTAGTATGATGTTGGTTTGTCATAGATGGCTTTTATCAGATTGAAGCAGAAACTAATTCCAATTTTATCATGAATGAGTGTTGGACTTCATCAAACGCATTTTCTGCTCTATTGAGATGATCATGTGATTTTTGTCTTTGGCTCTACTGATATGGCATATTACACTTGCTGATTTGTATATGTTGAACTATGCCTGCATCCCTGGGATGAATTTCACTTGGTCAAGGTGCATAATCTTGATGATTTGCTGCAGTCTGTATGCTAATATTTTATTGAGGACTTTTGCATCTATGTTCATTAGATTTTTTTCTTAAAAGAATGCCATTTAGGAAAATGAAACTTATATCTGCCAGAATATGTAAAACAAATAATTCTCTTGGTATGAACTCTGAGTATGTAATAAATATTTCTGCCTATTGTAGACTGTGCAGGGGTACACTACCTACTAGCTTTCAAAAATCTTGGTTATTCCCTTTACTGGCAAAAATGGATACTATAAGAATAAAAGCGACTGGGTGTTTAGCTCAGCAGCTTAAGTTCCTGCTTGGCAAACACAAAGTCATGAGTTCGATCCCCGGTACCAAATAAATAAACAAATAAATAAATAAATAAAAGATTCCCTTTTTCTCTCTGGAGCTAAACAAAGAAAATAAAGCCTACAAAATTAGTTGCCACTGTTTGTTAACAGTGTACTGTGTGACGGGCACAAATTCTGAAAAAGGCCTAAAGAAAATATGCACAATGAAGTCATTATCTCTTCCAACATAGGAGACATAATTTCAGTATATTTATTCATATGAAATACATTATATGGAGAATTTACACAATATACACATTATTATGCATAAACACACACATATATGTATTTGTGCATGTGCATATATGTTCAGAAATACTTTCCTTTGTGATTAACTCACTATATAAATAGAAAAAACTTACCTACATGATAAACTGCAAAAATAACTATGACACCCTAAGGAGACCTCTTGTCATGCTTGTTTTATGACATGACTCTGCAGCTTTTTTCATCAAGAGGTGACAGCTACTTCCCTACTCCTTTGAATGTGACCTAGACCTGAGATTTGACTTGGCCATTTGAGATGACTGAAATGTGATGTGCCAGCTCTGAGTCGAGGTTTTAAAAAGGCTTACATGCTTTCTCTCTTCTCTTTTCTCTTTCCTCTCTTCCCCTCCCCTCCCCTCCCCTCCCCTTCCCTTTGCTTCCCTTCCCTTCCCTTCCTTCCCTTTCTCTCTCTCTCTCTCTCCTTTCCCTCTGTCTCCTTCTCTCTCTTCCTCTCTCTGGAAATGTGGGAAAGATGCCATGTAGGCACACCCAGGTTCCAAGATGCTGGTCCCAAGATGTACATGGTTCAGCAGCCTCACTGCCCCACTGCCAGCCAACAGCCCATCAGCCATCACAAGTAAAACCACATGCTGTTTACCACAGAACCATCATAATCAGAAAATCTATTCCATAGCAGAAGAACCATCCAGGTGAGCCCATTCCAAAATGCTAACACACAGAATACCAGGCTAACTAAACTGCTGACCTTTTAAGTTGCTAAGCTTTAGCATGGCGTTAAGACAGCAATGAATCATTAATGTAAACAATAAGAGACAAGTTGCAAAAACATCTTCATCTTGGCATTAACACTGGCATAATCTTTAGTAGGCTGCCAAATAATATCCTACTTATGAATATCTTTTCTCATTCCTAAACTATCATCTTCCTTTTCTCCAACACTGACTTTAGTGAAAACAGAAACCTTCTTGAATTTAAATTTAAAATGTCTTACTTATTAACCAGGTGGAAATTGGGACAGTTTCTTGGCTCGCTAGGTTTTAGTTTGTCCTCCTATAAAACAGGAGTCATGGTATCTCACAGAAGTGTGTTAAGTGTATGTCCAATGCCATAGTTGCAATGCAATAGGAATATAAAAGTTTTTTATTCTGTCTAAAATTTCCTTTTCTTTCCTCTACTTTGAAGTGCAAAATGATAGCTGATATTTCTCTGTTACAAATTATTTCTGAAGGCATTATTCTGGTATAAAGAGCTGATCTTTTTGTACTATTTCTTCTTGCATTTAAAAATCTTTTGTGTGAATGTTTTCAAAACAAAGTTTGCTACATTAAATAACTGCCATAATTTATGTTAAGAGTAGAAGCAGCCACTAGAGAAGCACAGTTTAAAGCACCAGTCATTTATTTTTTGGAGCGCGTGCGCGCGCGCGCGCACACACACACACACACACACACACACACACACACACACGATTAAAAGTTCTTTTGTGTAGCAGTGCATTCTCTAAGTGAAACTGTGGCATCCTCCTCCAGAAGTTTCTCTTGTCACACAGACTAAACTGAACTCCTCACCATAGCGCATACCTAAACCCCATGTGGCCTTGCCTCTGCCTGCCTCTGCCACTTCCCCATCGTACTTCTCTCCCTTCTGGCCTTCGCTGACCTCCAGTCACCTGCGGGTCGGGGAGAACTCCATGCTTTTTCCCACCTGGGGCTGATCGCTAATTCTGCATGCTCCGCTCTGGATCCACTCACACTGCACGTCTCTGCATTGACACCTCCCTTAGCTGTCACCCCCCCCCAGACCACTCCTCCTCCACTGACTCCCTAGCGGCTCTCAGTCTCCCCGCCCCACTTTGGGGGTCACTGCTTCCTTTGATCATGTGTGTGTGTTTCACTTTTTTCCTCTTAACCCTTCTTTGACCCCAAGTATTTACTAGTGTGTTTCTGTGCCCTTTTTCTTTGTAAAGGAAGTTGTGTTAAGGCAGAAATATTAAAAAATACTAAAAACTATTACAACTTTATTGTTAATTATGGTATTAGCATTGTATTTTTACTTTTAAGTTGTATTTTTTATTTTTAATTGATAAAATGGTATATATTTATGATGCAGAAAGTGATATTTCAATGCATTAATGAACACATTACCATGTCACATAATAATCATTTTATGGTGAGAAGATTTAAATCTCTATTATCAATTTTCAAATATACAATACTATATTATTAACCACAGTCACACAGTATGACAAAGGTTTTTAGCTCATAAAGTGTTTTCTTTCACTCATTCTTTTCATTTGGGTCTGAATTTTGGGTTTTGCAGGGAACTAGCCCAAAACCTTTATTTTTCTTTTGTCTCTGCCTCACTTATCTTTGTGGTTCCCTTATTTTAACATTGCTAAATCCCTCGGTGTGGCATGAACAGAAGATGAGACTCCGATGGTACAAGAATTAGGTTTTAATTTGTCAGCCATTCTGAAACTATTTTTAAATAGAATATATGACTATAGTATCAGTGTGATGGATATGCTTGGTCTCAAATCTGTCATAATATTGTCACTGTAACATTTTGCTTACTGTTTCATTCTCAATAATTTCTTTGTTCTTTTAGAAAAAATAAATGTCATTAATTAGGAGGCTTCTCGTTTTTGTTCCAGTCAATAATTGGATTCTTTATCTTTGCTAATGACTTTGGTTCTCCTTTGTCCTAACGTTCTTCTATTTGGGTTGTCATCCATGAACTGTAATTTTGCCTCTAAACATATACCGATGCAGCAGCTCATTTTAGTTTTATATATCTGTATCTTTCTTCATTTCTTAAGTTTGTGATTTGTACTCTGTCAAAACATGTATTTTAAGTACAATTTGGCCCCCTAACCTATTTGTGTTTTCAAGTTATTGCAATGATCATGTAAATCCCTCCGCTAAAGACTTTACTCCTTTTCTCTGGATGAGGCTTATCTGTAGTTGCACAAGGACGGACATTTAACTACAATGTTCCCAAAGGTCTGTATCGCTGTACCTTAATTGTGATGCACATTTGGGTGGTAGAGATGGTTTTATTTGTTCTCATTAATGTACATAATTTGAAAGCATGAGAGGAAAATTTTAGACACAGAATTGATCCAGTAATTTTTTCTCTGTCTCTTTTATTCTGGTATGAATAAAACTGTTTATAGTGAAAGATAGATTCTGTGTGTGTATAAGATTCTTAATCACTGAAACTCTATGTGTGTTAAACACTTAAAATTATGTGTAGATTTTCCTTTACTTAGTTTTGTATCTTCCTCATAAAAATTATTTCTCTGAGGAATTTTTATGACATATCCCTTATCAAGTGAGAGTGTGCCTAGGACACAATGGTCACTCAATAGTAGAGAATGAAAGAATAATGCACTGATGCTTCTGGACCATTTTGTCATCATTATTATTCTTACTGTTATTTTGGTACCAGGGATCAAACTCATGACCTCGTGCTTTAGCACTGAGCTAAATTCCCACCTAATGCTTCTGTTAAAGCATTCTTCTGAAGACAATTATGTATTCAAAGATTTTCAAAACAAGCTGGGATAAAAGAGAAAGGAAAGAATGATATGAATAAACTTCACTGCTGCTTGATTTACAGTCTGTTTTTTAATATATTTTCATGTTTTAATATGTTTAATATGTTTTCAGCAAAAGCTTCTCATGTAAATTTGACAGTGTCACTCAAAATTTTGAAAATTTACTTTATAAGTAATTATGTACATATTTTCTCTAATTTAGAACTTATTCATATGACTTAAAATGTTTAAGTGTTAATGCCACAGCTGGATAAATAATTTGTCAAATAATTTAGTTGAAAAGTTAGGTTTAAATCTTCCATTGTTGTGGATTTTTTTATTCCTCAGTTTAAACTATATTCCAACTGAAAATATATTTCAACTTGCTGAGCATTCCAGAAACAAACCATCAATCTTTGACCATGAAAAGCATTTTCGTTATCTGCCTTTAAAAATAACTTCCTTTGGGTAAAGTATGGTCTCCAAGCAATAACTCATTTCCTGCATGACACACTGTAGTTCAGTAGTAGATCTACGAATGCTTAATAAACTTAAATTGTGCTAAACTTTAAAATCAAAGGTAAATACCACATGAGCTCATATAACTAAAAGAGCAGTCTAAAGAGATCAGGCCAGAAAGATCATGGTGAAGAATAAGCAAATGCAGAAAACATTAAATTAGTCACAAAATATGAATTTTTATAGTGTTGTTTCATTTCTGACACTATTTCATCTAAAATGCTTTCTATCTTCAGGCTGCAGTTATGAATAACAGGAACTTTAAGTAGCTGACATGTAGTAGAAGATCATGAGGCTTAGTATGCACAAAACTCTACAGTAAGTTCTCTTTCAAATAGTATAAAATCTTTCCACAGCTTTACGTACCAACCTAAGACAATTGTTTCTGAATGTTTGCAAATAACTCCTGTCTGCCCTGCATGCTTCAGTGCTCACTAAGAGCTGAATGTTTCACTAACTGTTCTTTACATAATTATACAACCATCAGTTTTTCCTAAATTGCTTCATAATTCAATGCAATAAAAATAAAACCCCATAGATTTTTAATTTTGTAAGCCAAGATAAAATTTCTGTGGTTAATCCAGAAGAATTAAAGAAAAGTCTAACAATAAACTATATTGAGAAAGAAAGCACTCTTCCAGATATTGAAGCATATTACAAAACTGGAGTAATTAAAGCCAGGTTCCAGCATAACATTAGAGAGATCAATGAAAGCAGTATGCAGAAATTTAGCCAAACATATAATGGAAAAACAAAGATGACATGCCAAAACAAAGAAGAAAAACAATTGTTCAATCAATAGAACTGGACAATAACCTAATAACTTGGTAAACATAAACCTGAATTGATATTTCCTTTCTCAGAATACTTTCTATAAGAAACAAAAATTTAAAGATTTAAAAAGTAAAAACAAAAGGAAGATGACAATATAGGTGAATATATTTAACATCTTACATTCTTATATTAGTTTCTAAACATTTATAGCTTTTTATTGAAAACTGATTTATAAAGGAAATACTAGAAAAATATCTGCAATTCACATATCAAAGAATTAAAATCCTTTATATATATAAAGCGTGCTTTAAAAAGATAAAATATTGTTGAGTAAAATGACAACCAAAGAATACTGTACAGCATGTCATTTGTATAAAATGGTGTGGTTCGTTCTGTAAGTTTGAGTACACACACAAAGATACATTACTAAATAATAATTACATATTCATGAGCACGGGGTAAAATCATTGACCAGTTTTATTTACTTCCTTAAGTATACTTGCATTGTTTTTTTCTATAAGAATATCTATAATAATTATAACAATAGATTGGCTGTTTAAAGATAAATAAAACTTATAGGGAGACAATAAACTCAGGAAACAACCAACAGAGCATTCTAAAATAAGAATAAGGAAAAATCAGCTGTTTCATATATTTTTTACAGCTCACAATTAATTTGAATATAAAGGGAGAATTTTTGGACCAGTGTTTAGAAAAACTTTGTATATTCTTTATTATATTACTTTGTTAGCTTTTTGTCTGGCTTGCTAGGCAAATATTTAAAACGCAATCTATGTTTATGAAATTGACATAATGAAATATAAACAAATATATTTTAAGCATAGTATAATGATTAAC